GCATGGTGAGAATGAAAGGAAAGGCTTAGGTTCAGAGAAACCATTTAAATGAGTAATTTAACTCATTTAATACATGAGTTATACAACTCTGGATTAAATGTTACACATGAGGCACTGGGCTAGGGCAACAGGACGGTTTTCAGAGCTGCCATGACCACTTGGGTCTCAAGCCAGGTTTCTCATTTCCTTGCTTTCGATCTCATGCTGCCAAGTGCGATGCTGGAGGTCACTGGTTCCACTAAGTTTGTGTCCTCAAGACTGTTTGAACATCCTTTATGTTTTCTTTAGTCGTTCCCTTACTTAATCCAGATATGCCTGGCCTAGACCTTTCCCATTCTCTTCACTTGTTCATGCCTACTCCTCTCATTCTTGACAATGAACCTAATCTCTTACCTCACAGAATCATGAAAAGGTAACTGGGATAAAATTCTATAATATAAAACCACTGACTTGATATTTAAAGCTTTTCCTGTCCTGTTCTATTTATCAACTATCCCCAACATTTACTTATTTATTAGACAGCAAATAACATGGAACACTTACTACCCACCATATACTGTGCTACTCTAAATATATAGTTTTAATTTCATGTCTGATGTTAGCTTACAAATTTTACATTCATTGATCATTGATTCAGAGGATGGTTGGGTTGTAAAAAATATTGTTATTATCTAATTCAGGCTCTCATTTATATATAAGGAAATTAAAACCTGGAGAAAAATCTCAAGGTTAAACAAGAACTCAGTGACAAGAGTGCAAACTGAAACCCAAGCTCCATTATCAGTCTATTTTGTTAAGAAAGTTGGTTTCATTGCCCAATTGTGTCCATTTATCTCTCTGCACAGTATTAGGACTCTGTTTCCAGTGCCTTTAAAACTACTGTCAACCTGAAAAGCAATGGAATAACTGGGAGTAAGCTGCTAACATGTGGTTTGGTGACAGGGAAACAAAAATCTAACCAGAATGAAAACATAAAACCTACCATATAACGTCTAAAATACATTCCATATTTCTAAATCTCAGTGTCCATTTTCTGGACTCTCCAAGGTCACTGCACCTTGACGTAAGCTTGTTGAGTAGCTGGGCGCTATCCTTGAAACACTTGCTCTCCAAACACAATATATCGACATTACTACACTCAGCTCCTGCTGCAGACAGTCAGAAGCAATGGACACAGCACACCTTTACAGGAGGACGGTTTCACAAGTTTATCACGGTTTTAACGTAAGAGCTGTGACCAGTCTCCTCCCTGGGTTATGGCCTACCCTGGTTTTCTGTGGACATGGGTCCCACCCACGGAGCCACATATCCTCTGAGATGAGATGACCTCATTTTCAGACACAGCTATTAAAAGTAGATGTCACGCATAGATGAGTCTCTACTTCCAAGAGATAAAAAATATTCCTTGGCTGCAGATTTAAATCTTCAGGGATATTTTCAGAGATTCCTACGGCTCTAAAACACAACATTTTTTCTTTTCCAAATTTTATCATACAAGTTTTCTAACATACAGACAAGTTGAAGGTATAACACAAAGAACACGTACATATTCACCATGAAATTCAACAAGCATTAATATTTTGCATGCTATTTTCTATATCTTTATTATGTTTTAATACCTGAAAACTTCACTGGAAAAAAACCCTACAAAGGAGCTTACTCAGATCCTCTGAATGACCTCCCCCCCACCATCTTCTCCAGCCAATCTTTATGAATCTCAGCAGGAGGGAAGTTTAAGCCTTTTGCTTTTGCCTTGAACTCATTCATTCATTCACTCATTCAGGACACTCAGCTCAGAGACCTTGTTCTATTGGATTTCTTGGTCAGTCCCTTGATATTTAAAGCTCTCCCTGTCCCAGCCTTCTATGTTGAGGCCTCCACAGTTGCCTTCACAATTTGCTTTTCCATTCAGACTGGTGAACTCTGGCACTACCAAGTTCTTCACAAGGATCTTGCCTGTGCCCAGAATTCCTCATAGCAAAAGGCATCCATTAGTAAACTGGGATAGGTGTGAACCTGAGACCTAACGATGCATTTTCCAGAGACAACTGGGGCCTATTGTTCTTCAGAGCCTTATTTGATCAAACAAGAACAAAGTCTGTGTCCATGGAGCTAATGAAAGCTGTTACCATCCAACTTTTCTTAATCTCTTTTCTTTTTTCTCCTGTGTGCTCTCAGGTGATTCCTACTACTCTTTATTTCCAGTACCTAAGGAGCTTGCCAGTACCTAAGTACTTGCCAGTACCTAAGGAGCAGGAGAGAATGGTGATCAAGAACATTTTTGTGTCCAAATACTATGCTGTCCTGTGTAGTATCTGTGCAAATTTTATACACAAGTTCCTTAGTTTCTTTAAGTAAGAAGGAAGACAAAACAAAATAAAATGCCCAAACAAACAAACAAACAAACAAACAAAATCAACAGTGCCCATTTTGTAGGGTTAAATTCAATATTATGTGAGATAAGTTCTGGCACAGTGACAAGTACCTGCTAAGTCATTTAATAAGTATTAGCTACTGATACTAATACTATTACTATTTTAAGTGTTGTTTCAATGCCACCACTATTGAACATAGACGTAAGATAAATGTCTTACTAGACCATCAGCAATAGAGACTGGTGGGGTGGGGTGGGGTGGGGGGTGAGTAAGTAGGAAGACAGGCTAAGTGGGGCCGAATCAACCTTGGCAATGGTCATTTTAATTGAATTACTCTTATTTATTTATCGCAAATGAACCTCCTGGAGTTGATGAGGGAATATGTGGTCTGCATTAAATTTCCAGCTATGAAACAAATTGTTCTACTCTTTATCAGAACAAACTGGGATGGGACATTTATAGTTTTCCTGGAAAACCTTGTTATTAATTTCACATTCAGAATTAACAATACAACTGACAGAACAATCACGATTCATGAGCCATCTCTGTCCAGAAGTGTTCATTTTATGCATGTCAGATGTGTTCAGGGACCTGCACAGTTTGTCAACAGCCCTTGCTGGAAGTCGGGACGGGAGAGTGTCAACTTCCTACTTTGGGAATTAATTACAGCAATTATGTCCAGGGCATCTTGACGATAAGGACTGAACAGTCATCAGTTTTTTTGTCTGATTATTGGCCTGACAAGATAAAGAATACATAGTTACCACCTACACGGGTCTTCTCTTTTTCCTCTCAATTCCAAAGCCATTCTGATTGTTGTTTTTCCATCCATTCCACTTTGCATCTGTGCACTTAGAATTCACTGACAGTGTTTGCTGAGTTTATGTAGCGTGTAGGTGCTTTGTCAGTGTTGGGGTACACCAAAGAGAATACGACTTATTCTCTGTTCTAAGGTGGGTATCCCCAGGAAAGAGGAAGACTCAGGGTAATTTCTGTAAGACTGCGGTGAGGAATAGATGATCTGATGGGCAGAGCGCATCCAGCGCTGGGTCTGGTGCTCAGCCAGAGCCCGGCACTTGCCAGTCCTCTCGCCCCCATCTACTGCTGAACGGCTAACTTACTACTTCGACGCCGCCTTCCGCCTTCTTCAGGATTCTGACCACCTTCTGTGCTTAACTCTTAAAAAGGGTAAACTACAACCTCTTTTCATTCCCTGTCTCCTTCAGTGCCCACAAGGTCACCCTCTCATCAATACCGCATGTTCTGTAGTTAACTCCAGATGATGGTTTAGCACAATGTATCTGATAACACAATTATTTCCATTAGGCCTTTCGAAGTCCATCGCTTTTTGGTAGAATCCTTGCAGACACTGCTGGTTAACTTATCTTCCTACTATTTTTTTCTTTTCTAAGGCATGTATCTGAGGAATGCTGGTATCCATTTTATCTCCTTCCCTTCTGTGACTAACACAGGATACAAAGATGCTCTCTCTCGGCCTCCCTTCCTCCCTCCTGCGATAGTCAAATGCCGTTTTTGATACAAAGATGATAAACAAACATACAAGCTGGCTTCTAGGGATCTAGGACAATACACCAGTCAGGCATGCTGAACATAGCAGATAATGCAAATGAGATATTCCAGATAAGAAAGACATGCGAGTGAGAGTCATCCCAGGGTATTGGTCATGGTTAAGGGCTCCGGTTCTGAACTTGGAACAGTGTTCAAATCCTATCCTCAAAGCTTACTTTCCTGGTCATCTTAGGCAAGTTGCTTCAGCCTCAGTTTCTTCATTTGAAAATAAGTATCATAACAGTTTCTAACTGAGGAGGCTGTTTTATGGATTAATGATATCAATGCACTAAAGCATTTAGCTCAATGTGTGACCCTAACAAATGTTCACTAAATAATACTATTGTCATAAAGTAACTCCATATTAATGTAAAACAGAATAGATCAGAGGCAAATGCCCATTTTAGAATTTAGAGTTCCTTCCTTATAATGCAGATAATTCTTTATACTGTAATGTTTTCAGAGTAAGATATTGTTTTCTTCATTTTTTTTTCAAGAAAACCATCTATTACTTCTAATACAAAATAAACTTTACAAGAAGAAACTGTCTCCTCATCCAAACAGGAGAGCATCACAATGTTTTTCTGACATAAAGGTACATTTAAAAGTATTTACACATCTGATTGCTCTTTGGAGGGTGAGAAGGCACACAAAGCCTTCCTGTTGTCAGAGGACCAGACCTCATTCATGCAGCTTAAGAGCATCTGCCACATTCAAATAAGTATTAGGAATTCTTAATTTTTTTTTTTTTTTTAAGGAAAGCTTATGTCTCAGCTATTTTGGTATTGTTGATCTCTATTCCTCAAAGAAAGCAGCTTTCGGATCAGCAGCTGATGTTGGAATATAATTCCGGAAAAACATAGCCCTAGCTGGGGCTAAGTCCCTTTGTGAGCATGCTCATCTAAGCTATCAGAGGTCCACTGGATAGGAGGTTTAACTGCTTATCAGCAGACCTGAAGGAGGAGTGAGAAAAACAGCCCAAAATGCACCCCTCCAATACAAAGCAGTGATCGTTTCGTTCGGGAAAATTTCAGTTTTGAAATGGACGCTACAGACCTGAGGCCATACAGGACAGTCCCGTCCGGGTGCAGGCGGATCATGCGGTTCTTGACGGTCACTCCATGCACGAATGACTTCTTATCGTTCAGGAAGTAGGTATCAGGCACCCAAAGCTGATCTGCTACTCTATTGTCCAGAGTAAGGTTTAAAGGTATTACATTATAGGACAGCCGCTTATCTCTCCAGGCTTGTTGGAAATACATTGTCAAGGTATAGTCCTGTGAAAGTGAGGGGGAAAAAAAAGGTTATTTTGTACCCAGACAGACTTAGGAGATAGGCAAACACTTCAGTATTCACAATCAAGGGAAATATACAGCCATGTACTTTAAACATATACTATGCACATATAGGTAAATATTAATTTACTAAACCCATTCTCACTGAGCACCTACTATGTGTCAGGCACCATGGGAGGGACTGCAAACACAGAAGTGAAGAGAGCATTTCCTCATGAAATTTATTATATATTATTACCCAGGTAGAAAAATGGTAAAAATAACTACTTTATAATTAATTTGCCTTTTCCAAAGAGAAGTACACAGGATTGTTTTAGGGGGGACCATACATATAGTTGTAAAACATAGTTAATTTATTACTATAATAACTGTATAGTTCATCAAGAGAATCCTAACTGGTCTAATCAAGGAGGGCTTCCCAGGAGAGGTGACATTTACACCAAAACATATGTAGCTCCCCAGCTATATAAACAATGTTATCTCAATCGGTATTTCAGGAGAATTTGAATCCTGGGATTAGGAATCAGCAGGTGAGGCTCTCCGCTTTGAGGAATGGTGAGTTGTCATAAAGGGAGCACTGGCTTTGGAGTGTCAGTGCCTGCATTTCTCAGCGGTGTCTAGGGTGCAAATTTATACACTCATTTCCCTTCGGCTCCATTAATTAAAACTCGGATTTTTAATACATGCCTGATCTAACCAGAAGATTATTATGACTATTAAATGTATAACTCAAATGCAATTTGTAAACTATGAAAAGCTATACTTTATGAATACAGCATTTACATATATATTGTGACATGTTTTATCCATTAGAGGCCTATGGGTCCAATGTAACTGCTCTCTCACCCTCCTTTGGATGACTACATGAGGGCCAAATATTCATTTGAAAGGATAATTGCCATTCTATTTTAAAATTAATTCACAATGCCCTACTTGAGAGCAAAAAAAACAAAAAAAACCCAACACACAGTATCACATCTTAGTCATCTCTGCAACCTGAGAGCCTAGTGCAGTCCTAGAGTATAAAGAAAAAACGAATGAATGAATGTCCAGTAAGGTGGTAGGCTTATTGGATTTCTGCACATATCTGCAAACATTTGTGGATAAAATACACACTTCCATCTCTACGAAGTCCCTGAGTATTTCTAACCCTCGTTGAGATTTATACATCCTAATTTGCTCATGTAATTTTAAAATATGACTTGTAAGTTATTATCTGCTAAAAAAAACATTGAATGGTTTTTATAGGAAAAGTATAATCCCTCTGCTGCAAAATAAGTAGATAAATAAATAAATAAATAAATAAATAAATAAATAAATAAATATTTTCCTGGTTTCACAAATATACAAATGTTGATCAGCCCTACACTGACTTCTGAATGAACAATGTAGAATCGAACTTCTATTCTAACAAAAGATATGCATATCCTCAAGGTAAACCAAATGCTTGTAGGTAAAATTTACTTTAGTGGGTCACTTTAGTCAGTGCTCTGCTCACTGCTTTAGTTAAGGGTAGTCTGAGGCTCTCCAGAAGAACATCTGGATTTATAGTAAAAGCAACCTTGAAGACTTATGAATTATATAACTAGAAAACAGAAAAAGGACCAGATACATTTTTGCATGTGTCTATGTTACAAATAGCCTAAAAATTAGGACATAAATAAAACAAGCAATTTATATGGTGCTTGAGAGAACACATTTAGTGATTTCCAATTCTTGAAGATCAAATGGAAAATTTATTACCTCTACTAGAAGATACAACAACTTAAGCATCTTTGATAATAAGCCTTCTTAAGATTTAGGGGAGATAATACAGTTCGGATGGAGCTGGAGTTAATCAGTTAGCAGAGATGTGTTTGGACACAGGAAATTGCATTCTCTTTTGGGCTAAATAAATAGTAATATTGGGAGATCCTGTGTCATATGCTAACTCCATTATTCGTCAGCAATGCAGTGCCTGCTAAGAAATGCTACCAGACAGACCCTGGTGATTCTGCTAACTGTCACATCAATTTCCCTTTTATTTATTTTTCAGTAACACATTATGACACTGTCAAGAATGGAGGAAACTTCTGAATCTAAATAAATGGTATTGGGCTTAAAACAAGTGGTTCTGTGTTTACCCTCTTTCCTAGGCCTCCATCCACCCAAGATAAACCCTTGAACTTTCATATAGAAAGCATATCCTTCACATTTAACGATCCCACCTTAGGGAACCTGTCTCACAGCTGGTTTATTCAAATTGGAAAAAAAATCACCAAGAAACCACTTCTTCTCTGCAGTCCATGGCATCAGTAAGCAAGAAGGCATTAGATAATCAAAACTCAAGCTGACTTTCAATGCCAAACAAGATGGAGTAAGCCTAGCCCTCTTACTATTGTAATTACAACTAAATATCCAAGAAACAATTTAAAAAATACTTAAGGAATATACAAAGTAAAACATAGTAGGCAAATTGGGGAGGAAATCAAAATGTGAAGACAGACCATTGCAATGGTGAGTTTGTTCGTTTTATTTTCTCTCTCTCATATATATTCTTAAACACACACACACACACACACAGACACAACCATAAACCAATGGAGAGATATACCATGTTGGTTTAAAAAGTGAGTATTGTTAAGATGTAAATTTTCCCCAGGTTGGTCTATAAATAAAATTCCATCCCAATAAGTATCCAAGCATTAATTCTTATAGATATGCATAAGCTGATTCTAAAATCTATATGGAAAACAAAGGAACGAGAATATCAGAACAATTCTAAAAGGAAGAACAAAGCTGAAGGATTCACTATCTGATTTCAAGACTTACCATTATGCTACACTAAGACAGGGTGGTAGCACAGTATCGAAAGAAATATAGAACAATAAAATAGGAGAATCTACAAATAAAGTCACACAAATATGCTCAGTGATTTCTGACAGAGGTACAAAAGCAACAGATTGGAGAAAGCATAATCTTTTTAACAAATAATCTGGAGCAACTGGAAAATCCACACGTGAATGAATGAATGAGAACCTCAACGCATACTTTACACCTTATATAAAAATTAACTCAAAATGGGTCACATATTTAGATGTAAAATGTAAAACTATAAAACTGTGAGAAGAAAACTAGACGAAATCCTCTGTGACCTTGGGTGAGGCAAAAATTTCTCGGGTACAACCCCAAAAGCACAAGCAATAAAACAGATGCTGATAGTGTGGACTTCAACAAAATTTAAAACATTTGTTCCATAAAGACTAGTATGAAAATGAAAAGACAAACCGCAGACTGGGAGAAAATATTGGGTTGTTGGAAAAGTCATGACATATTTTTTCTATGTTTTTCATTGCAAAAATGCGTCATGACTTTCCCGATAACCCAATATTTGCAAATCACATATCTGACAAAGGACTGTTATCCAGAATATGTAAATGTATCAAGAAAAGTCAAGATCCATATGACTTCACACATATGTGGGATATAAAACTGAAACAACAAAGGAACAAGACAAAGAAAAACTCATAGACACACAATAGTTTAGTGGTTACCAGAGGACATGGGGGGTGGATAGTAGAAGAGGGTAAACGGGATCAAATATATGGGGATGGGAAAAGAACTGACTCTGGGGGGGTGAACACACAGTGTGATACACAGATGATGTATTACATAATTGTACACTTCAAACCTATCTAATTTTACTAACCATTATCACCCCAATAAATTTAATTTAAAAAAATGAGAAAAGAAATAAAATTGATTAACCTGAATATTTTAATGAATGAATAATTAATCAAAAACAATTTCATTTTTGCTTTACAAAATAACTTTTAAAATTCTTTTGGATATTTTCTTTTGGGTTCAGTAACAATATTGTGAGCACATATTACCTGCCAGGTATCCAGAGACAAATGATGATTTCTTGAGATTAATTTTCATAAGTGATATCAATAAATGATATAATATAAAGAAAAAAGAATTCTCAAAACTCAACAAATAATTCCATAAAAAATAGGCAAAATATGTGAACAGGCACTAAACCAACAAAGATATACAAATGGCAAGTAAGCACATGCAATGATGGACAACATCAGTTATTATTGAAAATTAAATTGAAAACTAAAATGAGATCCAAGACCATCAGCATGAAATTGAGTAAATAAAGCATAGTATGAATATATAACAGAATATATGCAAGAATTAAAATATCATTATAAAAATATTGATATGAATAGATGTTCTCAACACACTATCAATATTTATATTATTATATATAATCTTTTTTAAAAGAATACTGCAAAACAATATGCACAATATGATCCCAATTTGGAAATACATATGTATATACTGGAAAAATGTGTCTAAAAGATAAATATTATTGGCATCTCTACGTGATGAGATGACAAGTGATTTTCAATTCATTTGCTAGTTGCTATATATTTTGTTTTATAAAAATGATTTCTGTAACAACTATATAAACAAATAATTATGTGTTGACTTCAATTATAAAAATAGCATCTAATGTTACAAATAGGCTTTTACTCTCTACATGTTTAAGAGCTCAGCATGAAGGAAAAGGAAATCTAGTCACAAATAAATGAGAAACTCTCAGCCTTTCAGTTTATTGTTAACATAGCACACATCTCCTGAGTACTGATCAAGGTGTTTTATCTAGAAACACACAAGAAGTAAGAGCTTTAAGTGGTCAACCATTTTTCCTTTTCTAGGGAAGTTTACCTTCAAGCTGTCATTGAGAAGTAAAATTCCATCCCTATTTTTCATCTTAAACACCAAAAAAAAAGGAGATCCCAGAATCTTCCTCTGGGATAAATTTAAGTCTTCTTCACCCTCGCTGTTAGGAAATTTCATTTTACTGCTAATAGAAAGCCTTCATATCTGTTTCTTGTTTAATGCTCGGAGGAGATGAACACACACACACACACACACACACACACACACACACACACACACACACACACACACACACACTTGTTCACTCT